CTCGACAGCCGCAAAGCAGTCTCTCAGCTCGGCGGCATGCACCGAGCAAATTTGTAATGAAGCTCGTTGAAGAAGATGCGAGCAATCAACATAATATGATGATGAATCCAAGGGATAAGTCTTGACTAGGCAGTTTGCCAGTAACAAATTAAATCCCTCCAATCAGCTGTTAGGGAGCAAAAGACTATGGTTCCAATGACAGAAAATGCTGATGGTAGTGTCGGAGATGGAAGCTCTGGAGGTACTGGACACCACCCTTCAAGATGACAGTTAAACCACTACCGGGAACACACATGCTGCCCTGAGAAGCCAGTAGTCGCATCTCATGCTCAGTTGAGAGCAGAGGCATTCAACCACCCATGTAGCATCACCGAACCATTTGGAGGCTTGAAAAATTTGCCAATAAAGCTGTGAATAATGAGCTGTAATGAGCAAGCCATTTGGAGTTATTATCCCGTGGAAATTTGACAATAACGAGCTGTAAAGTCCCTGCTACAACACGAGCTGGGAATTGTAGGAGCATGAGAAGCGAACTGCAAGAACATGAGCTGCGAGCTGCTGAGTTCAAAAGCACGAGCTACTGAGCTCAAACACAAGCTGCAGAGGTTGAGCACGAAGTGCAGGGGTTGAGAATGAGCTACAAAGTTCAAACACAAGCTACATAGCTCAACCACGAACTGTAGAGGTCAAACACTTAACTGCTAAGGTCAGCCACGAGCTGCAGAGGTCGACCATGAAGTGCAGAACTTGAACACGAGGTGCAGAAGACGAGCATGAGTTGAAAGATATGCAGCACGAGCTGCAAGGTGTCAACACACTCAACAAGGTGCCGACACTTTTCCTGCATTTGTCCCGAAGAGTCCGTGTCGGGTTTTTGTCCTTATCTGCAAATTTTGTTAACGGTAAAATTACAGTCTCAACCCCTTACTTTTAGATTCTACATAATTTAATTCTCAAATTTCATACCTTTTCAATTTATTCCTAAGAATTATGACATCTTCTAATTAAATCCTTTTCTATATAGAATGAATGTTATATACAATTATGTAAATTTTCATACAACTCATTCAAATATCAATAATATCAAGGCATAGATTCTACATTAATATGTACATAAATTTAATTCATTAGTCATGTATTGCTTTGAAAATTAAAAAAGATGAACTCACAATTTTTTTTCTCTTATTTATTTTACACAATATATTTTCTTGATTATAAGACTGGATGCTTTAATTTCTCCTCTTTTCAAGTCCTTGTGATACAGGTTGTCAAGAAAGCAATTGAGCTCCGCAGCAAATTA